TCCATTCAACCACCTCCTAACCCTCTCTGCCTTCTCATCTCACCTCCACTGCTCATTTAGTCTCATGTATCTACTTGAGCTAAGAAGCACACTCTTCAGGAGTATCATTTTATGTCCCACAGTCCAGTCCAATCTTTGTCTGAAGAGTTGTTTTAATTCTGGGTAGACAGAGAGTCCGGGGGCCATGCTTTCTGGGGTTCCTCCAGTCTCAGTCAGACCATTAAGTCTGATCTTTTTACTAGAATTTGGGTTCTGCATCCCATCTTTCCCCTACTCCATTAGGGATTCTCTGTTGTGTTCCCTGACATGGCAGTCATTGGTGGTAGCTGGGCACCATCCAGTTCTGGTCTGAGGCTGATGAAGTCTCTGGTCTATGTGGCCCTTTCTGTCTCTTGGGCTAATACTTTATTTGTGTCTTTGGTGTTCAGCAGCTGTAGCTCTTAACCACTACGCCACCAGGGTTTCCAAATTAGGGGAAAGTGATGGACTATTCAATAAATAGTGATACGACAATTAGTAATCTGGGAAAAAAAAAGTAAGCAGGATACCTTATACCTAATACCAGGATAAACTGCAAATGCATTCAAGATATAAACACAGAAATGACACTATAGTAGAATTAGAAGAAAGGATTGCAACTTTCTTTTGTAGCCAAGGAGTGGAGAAGGCTTTTCTAAATATAACTCAAAATAAAGAAGGTGTATCAGGATATCCTGACACTTCAACTACATGGCAAAAAACACCATAATCAAAGTCAACAGGCAAACAATTAAAAGAAATTGCCATTCATATCAGGCAAAAATGTTAAAATATATATAGAAAAATATATAGAGAGAAAGCTCCTAAAAAATTATAGAAAAAAGAAAACCAATAATCCCATAGAAAAATGATTCAGGGATACAAACAGAAAAGGAAGTACAAATGGCATTTAACCAGATGAAGATACTCAATTGTACTCATCATAAGATAAGTGTACTATAGCACAATGCTTTATAATAGTGATGATGGTGGGCTTCCTTGTTTTGTTCCTGATTTTAGAGGGGGTGCTTCTAGTGATACTGTTTTACTTATCAGATTGGCAAATTTCCCCCAAATTTTCTACACACTGCTGGAAAAGCTATGGAGTTAGAAAAGCTCTGCAGTCTTGTGCAGTGCTGATAGGAGTAGAAATTGGAATAACCTCTTTGGAGGGTAATTTGATATTTCAAGTTGACCTGGAATTTCCACTTCTGAGATATTATCCCACAGATATTCTTGAGCAATTATTTGGATGCACAAGGTTATTCATCAGAACCTTTCTGTAAAAATAAAAAATTGGAAATGACCCAAATATCCATCAATAAGAGTCGGTCAAGTAAATTATGGTACATCTATAAATTCTAATATCATCCAGTTGTAAAATAGAATAAAAGGATGAGGAAATTCTTTATGTACAGATATTTTGTTAAAAATGAACAAAAAAGGTACCCAACCTTGCAAATAGCACGCCACTTTTGTATAACAAGGAAACTATCAGAATGGTATAGACCACTTCTCACTTATTGAGTATCTTGTTATCTGACATTTTGCATTTATGACAATAGTAAAAAACTACTACCTGACTATTTTGCACATTAATGACATATGGCTGGCAGTAGCAAATGCAGAGGTGCAAGGCAAGAAGAGTAATGCTGGCTGTGATGGTTAAGGTTATGTGTCAACTTGGCTGGGACATTATTCTCAGTGGTTTGGCAGTTATGTAGTGATGTAATTTGGCAGTTATGTAATAATATAGTCATTCTCCATTTTGTGATCTGATGTGGTCATCCTCCATTTTCACATAATGCTAATTTTGGCATAAAGGCCTGGTCTTTGGAACCTAACCATGTCGATAAGTGAGGAGTGGGTATATTCATATTTGCTTGTATATGCGTGAAGAAACTGGAAGATTACAAGAGACAATAATTCCAGCGGTTACCTGTTGGGTCACTGAGAGACTTTCCACTGTATTTCTTTTTACATTTTCTGATTTTTTGAACTGTGTATTACTGATTCAAAATATTACTTTTTAAAAGTACAAAGATCTTTTGAACACATTAAAAAGGAGTATTTTACAAAGCGGAAACATAGAGATAAAAAGACTATCCTTTATGTACAAAGACAGTTGTCCCAGCCCTCAGCCTCTGTAAGGCAGGTGATTTTAGACATGCATTTATACTGATCTCGCTGATGACTTTAACCTGGTTTCTCTCACGGACATGGATGTAGAATTCTAAAAGGACTGGTTTTTCTACTGGTCTGTGGCCACGCATGTCGTGATGACTGACCATCATGAAATAGTCTAATCCATTCCTATAACCAGCCACAGACAAACATATTCGTCTTATACTTTTAAGAAGCTGGAGCTTCGTTCTTTGTCTTGGCTTTCACCCTCCATCTGTGCACCAGCAAAATAACACCATTTTTTAACCTTATAAGGAAGAAGCCTCTTCTGGAATTCCTCTGATTTCAAAGTCTCATCCTCAAGTTCTTGAAAATGAGGGCATTGGTTGAAAGGCATGTACAGCAACTAAAGACAAAAGAAAAAGAAAAATACCTTCATTAGACAGAAGAACTTTGCTAAAGGAACCGTAGCCATGTTTTAAGCTTTGTCAAGTCCAAACTGACCTGAATGAAAGATTCAAATGTGATTTGAGCTAAAGGAAAATTCTAAAACTGGAGAAAAGACATAAAGGGTTTGCAAGTCTTAAAACTGGGTCCTTGGTGGTGCAAACAGTTAATGTGCTCAGCTGCTAACCAAAAGGTTGGTAGTTTGTAGCACAACTTGTACAAGGAAAGGTCATGGAAGCCCCATAGACACATCCAAACTCCCTGAGGGACTGAATTGCTGGGCGGAGGGGTCTGGCGACCATGGTCTCGGGGAACATCAAGCTCAATTGGCATGACACAGCTTATAAAGACAATGCTGTACATTCTACCTTGGTGAGTAGTGTCTGGGGTCTTAAAAGCCTGTGAGCGGCCATCTAAGATACCCCACTGGTCTCACCCCTTCGGGAGCAAGGGA